ATTCTGGTCCTGAATTGAAGCCAGGCTGGCAGATGGACAGTGAACTATGCTACTATGCGTTGGTTGCCTGGTATGCATTCACCGCACTTGGAGTCGACGCCGAGCAACCTTGTGCGCCGCCTTCTTTTTCGGCGTCTGCTTGGCCTCTGCCGCTGCCTGTGTCTTTTGACTAGACTATACATTGATTGCATGATGTCATACTGCGTCTTGAATGCACTGCACTCTGATTCCATGCCTTGGTTGCCGAAGACGCCTGTGCCTGTGCCTTCTGGCTCTTCGCCGAAGCCTTGGCCGCCTTCGCCCCCTTAGCCTTCTTGGCCTTCTTGGCATTCTTGGAACTTGCCTTGGCTGATCAAACAAAGCACTGCAATCAAGTCTCACAAATAAAATAAGAAAGACACGCAACACAAACTATGCATCTGAAGTACCGCGCTGTCTGAGCTCGAGCTACTTCTCGATCTCGACGACCCGGATCCCGAAGAGGACTCTGAGCTCATGAGGCCATGCTGCTTCAAGAGGTCCATCTCGTCCTCTCGAAGTGGGCTCAAGGACCGGTCCTTCCTGGCAGCCTGGGCCTTCCGAGGCGCAGCCCTAGCCTTGCGCTTGGAGGTCTCCTCTGCCTGCTTGGCATTCTCAGCCGCCTCCGCCTTCTCCCTCGCCGCCGACGCCTGCGCCAACTCCCATAGCTTCTGCTGAGCCTTGACCATCGCCGTCTTCTTGGCTGCCGCTGCAGCCGCAGCCTCTTCTGCGTCTCTGCGCCGATTTGCTGCCGCCAACGCGGCCTCTGCCGCAGCCAATGTGGCTTCTTCATCTTCACGCTTCTTGGCAGCTAGTCGGCTGGCCTCCGCCTCGGCTGCCGCAGCGGCTTCAGCATGCTTCCTTTGCTGAGCCTCCCATTGAGCTGCGGCCTCAAACTGGGCGTTACGCTCCCTGTGGGCGGCCATCGCCGCTTCGTAGTGCGCACGCTGCTGCGCATGCGCTTGAGCAGCTGCTTCCTCGTCTGCGCGTTGTCGCGCAATGATGCGCGCCTTCTCCACCTCTGCATCGCGCAGAGCATTCGCCTTTTCCACCTCTGCGTCACGCAGAGCTTTTGCCCGCGCTTCCTGGATGTCCTTGGACTGTCAAGCGTCAAGTAGCGTCCAGTGTCAAGTCAAGTCGAACACTCAAGTGATCAAAATCAACTCACGTTGCTTTGATGATACTTGATGATTCAAAGATTGCAGGCATGAAGCTTTTCCAATATCCAGAACTTCACCACGAACATTCACCGCTGCATAGAGCTGCGGCTGTCTGTCCCCGACAGTCCTGATGACATATGACATATTGCTTGTACTTGCCACTCCAGCACTGCAACCATCAACAACACATGCGATGAACTGCATCAAAACTTCGACAGAAGCAAGATGATCTATGTCTATGTACTCGCACTGTCCTCGTCACATCCAGTGGTGACTCGTCGGCCCGCTCGGCAGCACTGACCCAAGCCGCTTGCGATGGCTTCGGCTTTCTGGGCCTAGCTTTCGGACCCTTCGGCACAACCTGTGGCAGGCTTTTGGGATCATTGCACGGTTGGGGCGGTGGAGTTTCCGGAGCCTCTTGGGCCTGGTGCGGCGCAGGTGCAGGCACTGGTTGCTCCTGTGGCAGGCTTGTGGGATCACTGCGCGGCGTGGGAGGCGGTGGAGTTTCCGGAGTCTCCTGGGCCTGGTACGGACCCATGCTTCTGGGCCTGGGCTCATTGCGCGGTAGCGGCGGTGGTTGCGAGTGGTCCGGCATCGACGGCATTGACTGTGGTGGCGGCGGGGGTGGTGGCTGCTGCTGTGACTTGGGCTGTGTTTTGGGCAGTGGTTCTGGTGATGGATATTGCGCTGACTTGGGCGGTGTTTTGGGAAGGTGTCCTGGTGGTGGATATTGCGGTGGCTTGGGATACATCTTGGGTAGTGGCGGTGCCGGGGGGGCCGGGGGGGGCGGCGGCGGCGGTCCTGGTAGCCCATATGGCCAAGGATAAGGGTTTGACGGGGGCGGAGCCATTGGGAATTTGCACTGAATGCCGGAGTACATCGGCATGTAAGGGCTGGCTGGTGCCTGCATCTTCGGATCTGGTGCCTCCGCCAGCCTATGGAAAGGCCGCAGCGGCCGCACGGCCGGAGGCGGAGGAGGTGGCGTGAAACTCATGATGGCACCGGCCGGCTATTCCGGATTCCAAAACTAAAGAAAACTTCAAACTTCTGAAGACTGGAGAAAACGAAAGGCGTCTTCAGGCGGCTTCCTGGTGTACTACTGGTGTACTCTTGTGTTTGCAGCGAAATTTCACAACGATCTTGGGCCTAATCTTGGGCCCTTCGGCCCTAAACACATGTGATATCATCCTTCATGACTTCATGAGACTCATGGACCATGAATCATGAACTTCTCAAGTAGGCACAAAGCCTGCACTGAGCCTTTCTCTCCGGATGAAAACACAGTTGCGCAGCACACAACTGGCACACAACCGACAAACAAAGTGTAACATGCAGCAACGCAGGAATGAATCAGCAAACACATGTCATGCACACGTGTCACCGTGTCACATGTCAGCCACATGTCATCCTGACTTCATCGCCGAGGACCCAGCTCAGCATCGCAGATTGTTGCGGAGCACAGCGCGCAGGCGCAAGTGGTTGGCCGCCTCAAATACGTATCTCACAGTGAATCTCACTTGAGCATGTCAGCATGTCACACTCACTCCTTGCAAGACTGACATGACTGCACGCACAGACTGGCATGGTTGTGTTGTGTGAAGGTTCACAGTTCACAGTCCGTAGCAACATGTCATATCCCATAACTTAACCTGTATTTCATGACATGGCTGACATGGCCCTGGCTGCACCAAGTGATGATCTGAGATTCCTGCTCTGTTGCACCTGCTGCTGATGATGATGATGACGCTGCTGCATTTGCACCGCTGCGGGTCAGCAGACTCCACCAATCGTTCTCTGCTGGAAGCGACAGAGGCATTGGAACCTTATTCTTCTGAATCGACTCAACTAGCCCCGCATCAGCGCTAGCCATCGCATCCATCAAGCCTGTCGATTGGCTGATCGTGAGAAGCTTGCGCTCACAGGAAGCGTGAAACCCGAAACCACAGAAGGGACATCGTGTTGCACCGTTCCTCTGGCACAGCATGCAGCGAACAATACCACTGTCGGTCGGCATGTCCTGACACTCACAAACATTATCGTATCGAACATGCCAATGTTCCATGATTGCATGATCAACATAGTCTCTAGACTCTAGATCTCTATAGTCGAGTCGGTCTAGTCTAGTCTTTCATTCCACCTTCAATGAATCTGTAGGCGGCTCTCGCTACCCAGCAACCCAATGTGCAGACTGGAACACTGGAACGCACTGCACAACGCCCGCATGGTATGATGCACGTGACAATTGGCTACGACAGCACCGGTCCTCATCTTGCATGTCATCGTCCGTGATTAGATCCGTGCTTTGTGAGACTGAAGTCAGCATGCGCTCGCAAAAGTCTCGGAGTCGCAGGAAGTGTGGTGACACTGCATCTCGATCCGGATTGGTTCGCTTGACTTTGCGCATTGCTGCTCGAACATATGGCAGCATAACATGAGCATGGCGACCGTCCAAACAAAGCTCCGGATATCCGATGCCGTTGCTTATACCAGTGCGATACATCGTGCAATCTGCCACAGAGAACAAAACTTTACCGTCGTCATCCAATCTCACCTCGCGTCCTTGTCGACCAACCAAGCCATGCCTCAGCTGCTCTATCCAGTTTGTCAGGCTGCGAGGCGAAACAATCAGGTGAGACGGACGGTGAGACAGCGAAAGAACACAACTCACTCCCGCAGTGTAGGATATATTACCAATCGCGACACATTTAATTACATGACTTCCTAGGCTTCTTCACCTCCGGCGACATAATATGCACTGATTAGTCCAACCCATCTGCGCCCGGCCGGTCATCTTAGCTGCAGCTGCGCCACCTCCCATTGTTCAGCCAATGGACCCATATGAGATCTTGAGAGTCATCCGTGTATTTGCAGCGAACACACTTGCAACCCGCGGCAGCATCCCCCATGCTTTTGAGCAACACCAAACTAATGCTGCGTTCTGTGCCCAACAGCACGTCCTTGGTCTTCGCATACTCCTGCATTGCCTGAAGCATCAGATGACATGCCATCACCCACCTTTTCAGGACGCGCCCGTCACGCTGAAGATCTACCATAGCCTTCGATCTGAGCACAGCAGCCACGCCAGGTGGAAGATCTGCATCAGACTCGTTATCCGACGCAGAATTATCAGCCTCAGCGCCGCTGCGCATATCGCTCTCCCCCAAAACACCTTCTGCGTCGACCGGCTGACGCTGACTCGCCACGCTTGCTTCATCCATGAGTGCACCCGACTCTTCTGGAAGCTGTGAGCTCATGTGAGGCTGTTGCTGAATGCTCTCTTCACCCGGAAGTATGTACCCTCTGCGACCAACGCCAACACCTGGGCCAACGCCAACGCCCATGTTTTTGGCTTTCTGAGAACGAGCCCTGCGAACCAGAAGCAACAACGCTTCTTCTTCGACAATCGCCTCTGGAACCAGCTCAGCGTTGCGATGTATGTCCTCAGCCACTGCAAACACATTCTTCGAGGAGGGCAGGCGGGCCGGATCCGTGGCAGCAGCTGCATTGGCTTCACTGATTTCGTGCATCTCGTATTTTGCTGTGTTGTCATCGTCCGAGTCCTCAGCATCCGTGGCTATCTCGACATCGTCGAGGAAGTTTTCATCATCGTCAATGTAGTCCAGAACATTTGGTGCATCCACATCGACTTCGTTTGCATCATCTTCGGGCGCATCTTTCCTCTTCAGACCTGCCTGCTTTTCTTGTGGTTTGCGCTTGGCTGCTTTTGCCTTGGGCTTCCGTCCAGATTGTGGCTTCGCCGACTTGGGATTGGCAGACGGGTGACACTCAGCAGTCATGACAAACACATGGTTCACCAACGGTAACACTGAAGCCACTCTTATCTCACCTCCACCCTCTGCATCTGATCTCCAGCCGGGCAGCAGGAGGTGAGACATGTCTGGCGACAACACTGTGTAACCCATTCGCATGTGCAAGCCCCGACAAGAGCAGGCGCCGTGGAAACTCAAGAAGAATAGCGTGGATTCAACGCAATTGTTCTCATCATACATCCACTGAAGACACTGATGACCATTGATCTGAACACTGTGAATCTTCGAGAACATCACGCTTACCGAAAACTTCTCTGCCACCGCGAAGAACAATGGTGGCTGCTCCGGCACAAGCCTATCGTTGCCCTCACCGTCAGTATCCTTGCGCAAGGTCTCGATGACTGCAATCAGCAAACCTGGACCCATTCTGTGACCAACATCTGGTTGCTTGATCTTCTTCTTTGCCGATGATGTAGTTGCCCGACGCCACGCCAGGTTGTATGACTTCGCCCATTGGATACCGCTGGTTGCTTTTGCTTTGGCAAGATCTGCTGCAAGCGATGCAAGCGATGACTTTTCCGGCTGGCCCCGCCCAGCTTCAGCTTCTGCTGATGAAGCTGCTGCTGACCCGGTTTGGTCTTCTGGCCCCCTCACAGCAAGCACCGCTTCGCGGTCCGTGATTGCAAGCACTGACGGCAACACGCCATTACCGCAGTTTGTTGGCAGAGGTACAGACCATCTGTTCTCATTCGACAGAATCGCCAGCGATGCCGTCTTGAAGCCGACAATTGATTGCATTAATCCTTCCGCAGTGCTCTTGATAGCCGACCATTTTTTCCTCCTCGCCATACTGTGATCTTCAGACAAAGCACGCCGGATTGCAAGCCTAGAAGACATCAATTCCAAACTCATGTTCGGCGCACGCCGACCCATCAGTTTAATGCAGCTGTTTATCCCTTCGATAGCTTGTGTGTCAGCAGGTAGTAGACGTGCAAGACCCTTCAGGAATGCGTATAAAAAGCTGCCAGATGGCGAGCTTACGTCGGGAAAAACGCCAGTGATCCGCATATGTTGCAACTCACGACAACAAAGCTCTTTGATCTTGCGTGTAGCTGAATCAAGCTCATGTGCATCGAGCTCAAGCAACTCCTGAGCCACCTGCTGCCTGCGTGCACAATACCTTTTGGGATGGCTCTTGATCAACCAGAAAAGCTTCATGGGGTACTGCATCAAAGGCCTGATGATGCGACGACGAAATGCTGCCCAGTGCAACATCAACAGTCTCAGTGCAAGATACCTCATGCGGACAACGTCTGCGTGTGAGAGACCCTTTGTCTCGTGGAAACAGCCTGACAAATGCAGCGCCTTGTCAACAATTTCCGGCAGCTTCTCAAACAACGCACTGAACTCTGCATTGAACTCATCTAGCTTCATGGTGACAAGCCTGAACATGCAATCGCCAAGTTTTGCGCCCTTCTGGACAAACAACATGAAATGCCGAAGAGGACTCCGCAGTGCATGACACAAATATAGCAAGCACCAGAATATTGGAGAAATTATAGTGTTCATTGCGCTTTGGCTCCATTTGGAAAGTTTCAGCCTGTAAGAATCCGTGTCATGCTCCTTCATGTCGTCCAGCACGATGGCAATTTCTGCCGCATCCTCCCTCCCTTGGCCACCTTGATATAATCACTGTCGACTATCGTTTGTTATCATCACTATTCACTCATCTAAGACAACCTCTCGCTCAATCCAACAACTTTGAAAGTTCAGTTGAACACAGCCACACAGCCATAGCGAAAACCTAGACCTACATGGACCTACATCTCAGTCAAAGGGTGAGACCAGCAATCGAAATTATGCGAAGTCCGTGGCAAGCAACGGGCATCGGCATCAGCGGTATCAGCATCAGCAGCGAGTGCATCAACATCAGCTTTCATGGTACCGGATAGTGCTTGAAGAATGCAAGGTTCGAGCAATTGACGCCCTCTCTCGATCAAAAACTCCTCAGCAGTTTCAACCGATCCCCATCGACCGCTCGATACACTCAGCGGATAACGTGATCCAAGAGCTCGTGTCGCTGCATCTTTAGAACCGTGATGATCATCCCACGCTTTCATCACATGACTTGCTTTTTCTCTCCAGACATTCACCAGCTTGGCTAAGCTCGCGTAATACTTGTCGAAGCCACCTAGCACCTCTTTGCTGAAGCATTCACTAATCAGTGAGTCTGTCAACAGCAAGCCGCTACGAACAGCCGAGTGAAAAACGTGGAGGTAGCAATCGGAAGCAATATATATAAGGTTGTCGACTGAGCCCACACTACACGCAGTCCGCTTCTTGCGTGCCGTCTGGTCAGTTCCTCTGTCAGTGGTGTCCAAGTAGGCAATCACGGACCTTCCTTTGAGGCATGAGTTCCTGAGCCCATTGATGCGAAACAAAAAGCAGAGCTTGCTAATAATCAAATCGCAGAAGACTCAACGACTCAACGACACAAACACAAACTAATTGGCGTCATGGCTTCTCCGTGTCCATATCTGCTAGAAGATCTGCAACCGATGGCACACCAATCGAGTTCAACTGCTTCTGCATGATCCCAGCACAATGCTCGGCTGTACTCCCAGAGACAACTTGGAGATCTGACCTCACACAAAGAGTAGCCAGAAAAACTACAAGAACTAGGAACTGAAGATGTAATCGGAATCGTAACCAACGCTAAGGCTGACGCATGCAGCGCTTGGTGCGGAGAAAATCTTCCACATGCGCAGGATAAGACTTCACGGATTTGCAAACAACGCCCATGTGAGCTTCACAAACATGAAGTTTCTCTCGTCGCCAGATATTTGAGTTTGTTGCGTCAGCTCGCACACTGATGAAAATGAGATTCCAGTCGCCGCCATATGATATGTCAGCAAGATCAACGTCAGATCCATGTCCATGATCATGGTCACCGTCTGCAGCTGGCACTCTCAATTCAGCTAAGGCATTCTCCGCAAACTCTTTCATGCAAGCATTCACTGATGCACCTGTTCTTACTTCCGCTCTCAGAACTGTGGCTCCACTCAAGTCCCGCAAAAGCAACGCCCCAACATCTGCTGCTGCAATATGAGTCAGATTACGGCGTATACCAAGTGCAAGGATAGACTCAGATGTCAGTCGCTTGCCCGATTTAGATACTACCAGCTCAAGCGATGATGTCTGCGACTGCGAATCCTGCGCAAGTTTCAATTGCTTGCTTGTCTTGGTCGCCTGTGCCACAACTTGTCTCTTGACCTTGCGCAATTGTGTCAAACTGGCAGTTGCCTTGGCCAAACTCTGGCAAGCCTGCGCACCTACCACAGCAGCACGTGCATGAGTCATAGCACGAAAATCTTTTACGGTCATTGTACACAAATCTTTCTGTGGAAGTCGCCCTCGCCCCCAAACGTCTTTCGGCACACGTTCAACACGACAGAGTATACCATCACCTCCACCGCCACCAGGCGCATCCTCGGCGTCACCTACCGCAGCTGCAGCAACAAGTTGTGCGCCCGATCGTTGCTGCACACTTGCAACCCCATGTGTGGATTCCGTGGACACTGATGGCTCTGCGTCCACATCAACCACTTCTACAGGCACAATCGCGTGTTCATTGTGCTCAGCTTCACGATCATCCTCCTCTATCGTCTGCGGCGGCTGGCCATACGCTAAATCAATCAGCGGAAGGCCAAGCCCCTGTAGAATAATCTGTACATCACTGTGCTTCACGAAGCGGTTGCTCACAGTTCCAACCTAAGCTGTTCACAACGTCGTGGTTGCAAGCATGATGACGGTGACCAATACCCGCGGCCCGCGGCTGTGAAACATAGTGAACCTGTAGGTACATGAACTCACATGGACATGGACTCATGACTCATGATCACGCATGCCGCATACCGGTGAAACGATGATACACTGATGCACTCACATGCACACGTGATCATGCATGCAGCATGCATGGCGGTGAAACGGAGAATCCATGACTCAGTGAAATGCAGGCACTTGCATTCATATTCATATGCATTCGTGGACTCATGCAGTCTCATGCAGCATGCCGGTGAAATTGAGAATCAGTGACTCAGTGAAACACTGGCACATGCACATGCACTGATGCACTCACATGCACTCGTGGACATTCATGCAGCATGCCGGTGAAACGGAGAATCGGTGACTCAGTCAAACGCCGGCACATGACTCATATGACTCGCAATGCAATCATTCATCATGAATCAAGAATCATGCTCCTGCTAGGCTGCCGAGATGCTTGTGAAAGTTGACCACCAATCCTGCTGCTTGCAAGCCTTCGCGCCTCACCTCTGGAAACCAAAATATCAACAAGTAATGTTTGAAGCGCCGCTTTGCCATAAACCCGCTCGCCAGAAACCTCGGTGTTCATACCAGCAGCCCATGAATTTATCCGCCTGGCAGCAATGGAGTTTGATAATGCCATGGCTGTGCACAGAAAACATAAACTACTGTACCAATACAACCAACGAGTGCGAAACTGTGACATCTCTCTAGTGACTCCTGCTAAAGTGTCGGTCCACTACACTGCAACAAGAAAATATGCAATCCCTCCGCTGGGGCAACATGGACCTGAGCCAGATTAGACAACGTTTCAGCTGGCGGCAAACCATGACTCCGACTACATGTCGATGTGAAACTCAAGCAATTGCAGTCAAGAACACATGTGCATCGGTCACAAAACAATGATAGCCGCCCACCCGGCCAGTGAAACAACCACATATTGCATCAACACATGTGCATACTTTTCGATTCGCGTCATCAATAAACTAACACGTGTGCCAAACAAAAATCAAACATTCTGAATGGTGAAAACATTGATTTCTGTCCGCTTGCACGCTACATTCATTCATTCAGGATTTCGCAAAATATGTTGTTTGCCGACCCGCCAGCCAAATCTTAATCTTACCCGAGCTTCCGAACTACTAGCCCCAGCCCCCTTAGGACTGTTTCAAACCAACAATCCGTTTGCAAGCTAAACCTGCCCAGCCATACATTTGAAGGTTCATA